GATTTGGAGACCCTAATGACCTAGTTAAGACAAGTTTCTCATTGTGAGATCTGGGAGAAAATTCAAATGGAGTTGGGACAAGGTGTTAGGAAGTTAGATCTCTGGAAAGCAGACAAGTTCAAGGAGAAGGGGTAATAAAGACTAATTCGCCTGACTTCTGACCTGGTCTCTTGAGAACAGAGAATCTTCAGGAGAAAAACTTCTGTATGTGTAATACAATGCCCCTGGGGAATGATGTGCCCAGGGGTTGGAGTAACAGAGACAGTTATGTCTCACAGACAGATCTAAGTACCTGTGTATATCTTCTCTGTTAGTGTCCCTAATACTGTGCAACCTTGGGCTGAACAGGACAACTTTATTTCTTTTTGATTCCTAATTCTGAAAAGGGACCAATGTTTCACTTATTCCTGCTGCCTTGTCTGAGGATGAAGTTAAGTCTCTATCTTTAGCCTTAAGCGACAAATTCAGGGAGAATGATGAAGGAGTAAATCTAACTAAGATATATTGTAAGTACATATGTAAATGTCAGAATGTATCCCCCTGTATATTGTATGATTGCTATTGTATTGATATGCTAACAAAAACAAATGAGTGCATGCAGTAAAAAAATCCTATAATATCATCAATCTTCAATGACTTGGGCAAATATATTTGGGGATTATTAATTTAGAACTACAGTTCTCAAAAATATATGTATTCGCCCATGCTGAAAATGAGCCATCGCTGGAGATGGTCTTCACTCTGCCCTGAGGAAGGGTGAGTGGAGGATACTGCTGCTGTTGAATGTGGATTAAGTCACGCACAGACCCCACCAGTTGTTGATCTTGTCCATTATATCCATAGTTCCATAACTGAGAAAATGTGAGATAGAAGTTGTCTGCAACATTTCAGGTACTGGGGTTGAGCTCAGGGCTTGCCCTTGCTAGGCAAGCCCTCTACCACTTGAGCTATGCCCCCAGCCCTTTTGCTTATGTTTTGTTTTGAGATATGGATGACTGAAATTTGATTGGCTGGCTTTGAACTTGTGATCATCCTGCCTCTGCCTTCTGGATAACCAGGTTTACAGGTGTGTATTGTCATGCCAAACTACATTTTATTAATTTAGATTAATTATGCACAGATATCTCATTGTGATATTTGCACGCATGGAGAAAATGTACTTTGCTAAAATTCACTCACTGTATTGCATGTTTTTGTCCTTTTTCTCCCCCATTGTAAAAATATTAGCTGGATTCAATATTTTATGTCTTTACATGCATATAAAGTGCTTTTACTCAGACCCACCACCACCACCCCGTCAACCTCTCCTTTCACCCTCCTCCTTCTACTTGTTCCCCAAATAGTCTCAATTTTACCCCAAATAGTCTCAATTTTACACAAATGTCAACTTTTAGTCTAGATTTTGCATATGAGAAAAGCATGGGCCATTTGCATTTCTCAGTCTTGATTGTCTCCTTGATGGCATTTTAAACTTTTAGAACTATCCTTAGATGCTTCCACTTCCACCTTGAGAAAAGTCAGAGTACCCCATTTGCCACCTGCTTAAGACTTCCAGCACCATTGGAGTAACTGCTGTTTATATGCTTTTCCCAATATAAATTCCTATGAAAGAGATTTCTTATTGTTTCCTCCTACTGTTATAGGATTTCTAAATAATCATAATTTCAATTTGTTGATATTTACTATATGCCCATTTTTGTGGTTAGCATTTTAAATTACCTTCAAAAGTTGCTTCTCAAGTGATTATTGGTGAGTATTGCTGGCAATAAAATGTTTACTTAAATATGTGTCAGTCATTTTACTTCTTAATTCCTTGTTTTAATGAAGATAATTTGCACTTGCATGCAACTTTGTTTGCAGTGCTGGGGACAGAACCCAGGTATGTGTGCATCAAGCACTATACTACTAAGGTCCTTCAAAGCTTCCAACCCACAGATTTTTATATGAAGTCTTTTTTTTTGCAGTACTGGGGTTTGAATTCAGGGCCTCATGCTTGCTACGCAGGTACCCTTCCACTTGAGGCACACCGCCAACCATAATCCTCTTGATGATCATATAAACTATATTGCTTAATTTTACACTGAGGTCCTTAATTCTTCTGATATTTTTTGTAAGATATGCTAGCACAGGCCCAATGTCTTCTTCTTGCAGATATATGTCATTTAGGCCAGCTTTTATTTAACTATTTAAACTTTTCCAAATAATTTGAAATATAATGTTATCATACAATAAATCTCCATATCCTAAGACAAAATAGTTGATTCTTTTAACAAATAACAACTGGGAATGTGTAGAAGCCAGAACATTCCTGAATATCATATGTTATATTATCTCATGAGTAGGTATTCAACAATGTAATTATGGATCTATATTCATGTCATTAAATCATTGTTAATTTATGCCTATAACCCTTCTTTCTCCTATTCCTCTCCGTCTCTATTAAACTCTTCCTAACATAATATCGTTCCATTTCTATCCACTTGCTACAAATGACAGAATACCATTCCTTTTCTTAGACTGAATAATGGGAACATTGTGTTTTCTATTACAGGATCTTCATCCATTTACACATCGATAGACACCTTGGTTGATTTCATATCTTGTCTCTTATGAATATTGCAGCAATAAATATAATACTGTTTGTATATCCTTATATAATTATTTCTCTTCTTTTGGATATGAAAATTCAATTACTCTTCATTCTTTGAAAGCATCATTCTGTATTCTATCTTTGCATATTTCCTCATTTAATTCTTACAAGATTCTTAATAATGGGGTACCACTGTAACCAAAATTTATAGCCAACAAAATTGAGACTCAAGTGTTTAACTCCTATTTGCGCAAGAATAATAAATAGTACAGCTGAGGGTTTTCTAAACTCCTTAAGTTTTTCCAAACTCCGTGGTGAAAAGTGTTACATAACCTAACCCCTCCACAATCACATAATGACAATATATAACATACAATAAAAAGAAAATACTATGGTGCATATGTAATTACAATGAGACAGTACTTTATAATCTACTTTAACCCATAAAACTCTACATTTTCATGGTGTTCCATATGACTTAATTATGAGTAATAATGAAAGCAAAGTAGTTATCATTTGTATTTCCTTAATATTTATGTTTTCTTTGTGTTGGGAACATTCCAATATGCCCTCAAGATATTTTGTAATATAAATAATTAATGTTATTTGCAGTCAAACTACCATGCAAAATAGAGAACTAGACCTTAGTTCTCCAACCAAAATTCATTTTCCCTCAATTAATGACACCCTTTCCATTCTTCCTCCTCCTCTACCTATCTTAGCCTCTTTTAACCAGTGTTCTACATCATCTTCTGTTATGTTGCTTGTCTTCCAAATTTGAGCCATCTTTCTCCCTCTTGTTACTCTGTTTCCACACTGGCTCCCTTGGTGGCTTTGAGCATTGGAAATAAGCTTCCTCCAGGTAACTTTGAGGCCTTTGACCAATTTTCTGTGAGATCGTTGTTAAAATGTCACTGTTTGCTGTTCTTGCTTAACCAACAGTTTTTTTTTTCATTTTTCTTTTATTATTCATATGTGCATACAAGGCTTGGGTCATTTCTCCCCCCTGCCCCCACCCCCTCCCTTACCACCCACTCCACCCCCTCTCGCTCCCCCCCTCAATACCCAGCAGAAACTATTTTGCCCTTATCTCTAATTTTGTTGTAGAGAGAGTATAAGCAATAATAGGAAGGAACAAGGGGTTTTGCTGGTTGAGATAAGGATAGCTATACAGGGCATTGACTCACATTGATTTCCTGTGAGTGTGTGTTACCTTCTAGGTTAATTCTTTTTGATCTAACCTTTTCTCTAGTCCTGGTCCCCTTTCCTATTGGCCTCAGTTGCTTTAAGGTATCTGCTTTAGTTTCTCTGCGTTAAGGCAACAAATGCTAGCTAGTTTTTTAGGTGTCTTACCTATCCTCACCCCTCCCTTGTGTGCCTCGCTTTTATCATGTGCTCATAGTCCAATCCCCTTGTTGTGTTTGCCCTTGATCTAATGTCCACATATGAGGAGAACATACGATTTTTGGTCTTTTGGGCCAGGCTAACCTCACTCAGAATGATGTTCTCCAATTCCATCCATTTACCAGCGAATGATAACATTTCGTTCTTCTTCATGGCTGCATAAAATTCCATTGTGTATAGATACCACATTTTCTTAATCCATCGTCAGTGGTGGGGCATCTTGGCTGTTTCCATAACTTGGCTATTGTGAATAGTGCCGCAATAAACATGGATGTGCAGGTGCCTCTGGAGTAACAGTCTTTTGGGTATATCCCCAAGAGTGGTATTGCTGGGTCAAATGGTAGATCGATGTCCAGCTTTTTAAGTAGCCTCCAAATTTTTTTCCAGAGTGGTTGTACTAGTCTACATTCCCACCAACAGTGTAAGAGGGTTCCTTTTTCCCCGCATCCTCGCCAACACCTGTTGTTGGTGGTGTTGCTGATGATGGCTATTCTAACAGGGGTGAGGTGGAATCTTAGTGTTTAACCAACAGTTTTAAAAAAAGTCATCCATCTCTTTTTAACCCCCTCCTTTCCTTTTGTTCTGGAATCTGTCATTACAGGGCATGGTATACAACTTTTCTGTTTGCTTATGTTTTTCACAATCATTAGGATATAGAGACATTTGTCTTTTTTGCACTATGAATACATTTTCTAGACAGTTTCTGGAACATAGTTAATATGTAATTTTTATTCCTCAAACACATAAGGAAAATTTTTTGTTTTAATTACAGAACCCATGATCTCTGGAGGCAAGGCTGAGAGTGGATAAGGAATTCCTATTCATAGATAGCAAGTAATACCTTAAAAGAGACCATACTCATGCATGAATTATAAGAATGACTTCTTGAGTATAAGATATAAATTGATAGAATTTCTGAAAGTTTAATAATATATGTATATTTCTTCTCTCTCTCTCTCTCTCTAATTGTTCTCAATCTCACTCTTGCTTTCAGTCATACAACCACATGGAACCAAGGAATTGTTCACAAGTGTTAGAATTTCTTCTTCTGGGATTTTCAAGAGAACCTGAATTGCAGCCCTTCCTTTTCTGGCTTTTCCTCTCTATGTACCTCATCACTGTGATTGGAAACTTGCTTATCATCCTGGCCATCACCTCTGATACCCATCTCCATATACCCATGTATTTTTTCCTCTCCAACCTGTCTCTTTCTGACATCTGCCTTACCACAACCATTGTTCCCAAGATGTTGGCAAACATACAGACACAGAACAAGGTCATCTCCTATGACACCTGCATCACACAGATGAATTTTTTCATACTCTTTGCTGGGTTTGGGAACTTCCTCCTGGCTGTGATGGCCTATGACCGCTTTGTGGCCATCTGTCACCCTCTGCATTACACGGTCATCATGAACCCCCGGCTCTGTGTGCTGATGGTTCTGGTGTCCTGTATCCTTAGTGTCCTGCATTCCCTGTTACAAAGCTTAATGGTGCTTCGGCTGTCCTTCTGTACAGACTTGGAAATCCCACACTATTTCTGTGAACTTAATCAAGTGGTCCAACTTGCATGTTCTGACACCTTCCCTAATGAGCTGGTGATGTATTTTACTTCTGTGTTGCTGGGTGTTGGGCCCCTTGCTGGCATCCTTTACTCTTACTGTAAGATAGTTTCCTCCATCTGTGCAATCTCTTCAGCTCAGGGGAAGTACAAAGCATTTTCCACCTGTGCGTCTCACCTTTCAGTGGTCTCCTTGTTTTACTGTACAATCCTAGGAGTGTACTTTAGTGCTGCTACTACCCACAGCTCCCACTCCAGTGGAGCAGCCTCGGTGATGTAGTGTGGTCACCCCCATGCTGAACCCCTTCATCTACAGCCTGAAGAATAAAGACATCAAGAGGGCTCTGAAAAGATACCTCTGAGGGAAAATCCATACGAGTATTTTTCAAAACGTACTCCTGGGCTCTGGTGGAGTGGCTGGAGTGGTAGAGCACCTACCTGGCAAATGTGAGACCCTGAGTTTAAACCACAGTACTTCCATAAAAATCAGGAAGTGCTCTTGGTTGCAGGTCTGTAAACCTTGGAGCTAGGAATTGATTCTTTAATCAGAGTGTAGAAGTGGAGAATCAACCTCTCCACTCTATATTCTGCACTTTGAATCTCTTTGTCTTCAAATGCTTTACATAATTTATTTTTTAAAAAGCTTGTTTCAATTAGCAAATACTAATAATGCAAGGCTATCTCATTGTGATAATTAATTACATGTGTAAAGTGTACCTTGTACAAGTTCATCTCCTCCATTCTCCCCCTATGAGCTCCACCAATTTTCAAATTTTTTGTGCGTGCTTCATTATGCAGTCTGCATATTTGCATAGGCAGCATACATCCATCTTCTTCTCCCCTTGATATTCTTTCTTTTCCACATCCACCCTCTTGCTGGTTCACCCTAGAAACTTTCCCAATTACATTTACAAATCATTATTTTTATGGTAATCACTGTCACTATAATTTTTGGTTTAGATTCACAAATGAGCAAGAACATGGAATATTTGGCCTTTTAAGCTTGGCATATCTGACTCAGCATGATGTTTTCCAGTTCATTCATTTTCCTCCAAATGGCATATTTACATTTTTGTTGAGGGAAGAGTAATGTATGAGTATATCTCCACATATATATAATATATCATGTATGATTATATATATTCCATATACATGTGTATATATAATGAACATATACATGTACATGTAATATACATGTATATGCATATGGAATATATATAATCCATGGAGAGAGAGAGATAATTGTTTTATTCATTCACTAGTTGTTGGGCACCTTAGCTATTTAGCTGTTTCAACACTTTGTCTATTGTGAGGAGAGTTGCAATAAACATGGGTATACAAGTATCTTTTTTGTATATTGGTTTACACTCCTCTGGACATAAGCCCAGTAGTGGTAAGTTAGAGTACTGAAGCATGTGTATTTTTAGTTTTCTGAGGAACTTCCATACTGGTTTCCACAGTGGTTGTACAAATTTACATGTCCATCAACAGTGTGTAAATGTTCCTTTTTCCCTCACATGCTTGCTAGTTTTTGTTGTATTTTCTTGATGATGGTCAATCTGACTGGAGTGAGATGGCTTCTTAGTGTAGTTTTTATTTGCATTTCCTTTATGTCTAAGAATGGTGAACATTTCTTCATGTATTGATTAGCTATTTGTATTTCTTCTTCTAACAAGAAGACTGTTCAATTCATTTGCCCATTTATTAACTGGATCATTTCTTCTGCTATTTTGTTTTTTCACATTTTAGTATATTGTGGATATTAATCCCTTATTTATTGAATAGTCAGTAAATATTTTCTCCCATTCTGTGGATTGTCTTTTGATTCTGGTAACTGTTTTTTTGATGTTCAGAAACTTTTTAATTTGATGCAGTCCCACTTATCAATTTTTTATTTTCTATTTAGTTCATTGGACTCAAGGATTTGTTGTCATTGGCTCTATGGCTTGATTGGATCAAGTTTAAAAGTTTCCAATGCTGTCTACAAATATGACTTTTTTTTAATTCATATGTGCATACAATGTTTGGGTCATTTCTCCCCCCTTTCCCCTACAAATATGACTTTATCCAATACCCTAAATAAAATATTTCCTACTATTAAAATTTTGTCACAAATGTTAAAGTGCTTGTGAGTGAACAACATATGTATTACTTTATCATCAATTTTGTTATCTCTTTTGTGTTCTTTAAATCCTGTCAATCAATGGATGACACATGACAGACCTTTAATTCTCACAATCTTACCTGTGGGAATGGAGACTTGTGATTCAGTCATGAAAGGTATTCCTGTAAAAAAATACATATCCTTGAAACCTCATGATTATCTAGAAGGGATTCTCTTTTTTATATAGTTATCTGAAATAAGCTTGAAGAGTCAGGTCACCATGAGTGCTGCCTCAACTATCAGAACCAAAATAAGCAGTAGATTATTCAGAGTGATCTCGGTTCTGTTTGCATTGGTTATTGCATCAGTAATATTGTTGTTGCATAACACTCATTGTTGCATAACACTCTTTCCTAAGTAAACGGATTGTGGCACTGTTTTTCTTGTGTCATAGGAATCTATATTGAGGATGACTTCTTATTTCTTTGGGTCTTCTCATGTCATCAGCCGTACATCAATTCTAAATACTCTACTAGTCTTGGCAGGGTCCTCTAACTTTTGAGAGTTCCATGGTTGTAGGATTGTTAAGAATGACCATGGTTGGGACACCTGGGGACTCCTCTACTTGTCCTGTTTACTTGGTAGGGAAGGGTTAATAGCAGCAGCAGCAAAATCATGCCAATACCTCTTAAGGACCATTCCCCAGACCACCATATTGTTTTGGCCAATGCAAATTCAAAACCCTTAGTCCATCACCTCAAATGAACACCTCTTGTTCACTTCTTTCTTAAGTGAACAAGAATACCTAAACTCTACCCTCTTACTAGATCTACGGTGTATGGTGCAATATTACTGAGCATAGTCCTACTGATGTATATTATATATCTAGACTTATGCATTCTACAAAAATCTAATTCTATACCTTTCGAACCATGCCTTCTCATTGACATATACCATTCCATTCCCATATTGACAATTTTGCTCTGTGTCTCAATGTAATTGACATTTTAAGATTGTGTGTAATTAAAATCATGTAAAAATCTAAGGTTATCTAAATTTTGAAAGATTTTAATTAGTGTATGTTAATTTTGGAAAATTGTGAGTTGTTATGATAATTCCACATATTTTTAGAATGTATTTTAATTATATAACTCCCCTATTACCTACACTTATCCTTTTTTCTCTTCCAAAAGGTACCCTTCCTACTCCCTGTAGTCTGCCTTATACCTTCACATCTTCAAAACATATTACTCATATGAGAGAAAACACAAAATACTTTCCTTTCTGAGTCTGGTTTGTTTCAATTAACATGATAATCTCTAGTTTCACCAATTTTCTTGCAAACAGTGTGATTTCTTCTTCATGACTGAGTAATACTCTGTGCTCTACATATGCCATGTTTGATTTATCCATTCATTGACTGAGGAGAACCAAGGCTGATTTTATGACTTGGCTATTGTGAGTGGTGCTATACTAAATTTTAAGATTCTGTAAAGCAAAGGAAATGATACACAGAGATTTTCACTCTACAGAAGGAAGAGATAGCCTGAAGAATAGGAGAAATTCTTTGCCAGCTCTTCATCCATCAGATGTTTAATATTCAGACTATATAAAGAATTCAAAATTAAGTACCAAATGAACAAATACTCCAAATAAATAAATGGGCATATGAACTGAAAAGATACTTTTCAAATGAAGAAATACCAATATAGTTTTACATACAAATGTCTAACTTATTTCACAGAGCATGCTATCCTCCAGATTCTATATTTGTCACAAATGACAGGACAATCACTCATAGGGCTCAATATTAGAGTATATTGTGGCTGAGGAGTAATTGACAATAGCTGCACTTGTAAAACATAGTGGATTAGTATGCTTCTGGTCACTATAGCGAAATACTTGACATAGGGGACTTATGACGTGAAGAACATTCTGTTTGTGGTTGTAGTTATGGAGTTTCAAGTCTAACACTGGGCAACTTCATTGTTTTTTGCCTTTGGTATGAAAGTATCATACGGTGGGAGGATGTGTCAGAGCAGGCATCTATCTTGAAATAGGAAGCAGAGAATGACTGTATTGATAGAGTTCCACAATTCCTTTCAAGGGAATTCAACCCATGATCTACTGACCTCCCAATATGCCCTACCTCTCAAAGGTCCCATTACTTCTCAATAGTGCCACCCAAGGGACCACCACATAAGCACACAGGCCTTTGGTAAGACCCAAGTTTCACCCAAGCCATAACAGTAAGTGACAGCTCTTATTTACAGAAATAGATGTGTGACTGGATATCAGCAATTCTTACAGATTTGGGATTCTCTTCATTCTTTTTCTTGTGTACATAGGTAGGGGGAAATCATTGCCCAAGGTGTTCACAGGAATCTCAGAGTTCAGGACACAAGTTGGCTAGTTGTCACAAGTCTACTTAAGAGTTCTTAGACCACACTTGATTATAAGGCTCCTGAGCTGAATAAGCTGGTCATAGAATGGGCTACTTTGAAAATAGGTCATCCCATCCTCAAGAAAACATTGCTACAGTGAGACCATCATTGTAAAACATTTCATGACATGAAACACAAGTTGGGATTGCATCAAACTAAAAAGCTTCTGCACAGAAAAGGGATCTCTCTACAGACCATAGGGAAAATCTCCAGAAAGGCAAAAAATCTAGTCAGCTAATCATATATTCAAAACAGTTCACATTTGATTTCCCAAGTTTACAGATTTGGTGCCAAATGTTTCAAACTTTTATTTCCTGTGATGAGACATACTCAGAAGGTAACTTTAAACTAATATTTTCAAATTTAGTCTACAAAGTCCAATATATGAACCCCTACACTCAAAGCTGTTATAGATGGTGAGTGCTCGACTCAAAATACCCACAATGGACTCACCTGGGAACCCAGTCTTAACAATCCAAGTGTGTTCTGCACATCAGTACCAGGGACACCAATAGCAACTGGGAGCTGGTTAGGTGTGCAGAATCCTTGGCATCTTGTAACCCTGGAATCAGAAATAGGGCTTTATATACTCCATTGAAGTTAGATATGTTCTCATCTAGAACAGGGCTTCATGACCTTCCTATGGCTTGCATTTCTGGTAGAATATTCTTTTGGCAAGGGCTATCCTGTGCCTTATAAGATGCTGAGCTCCATCCCTTCCCTGGCCTTTAC